ATTTTGCTTGAAAATTCTGTCCCTCTGCCCTTCCCCCACTCCCGCTCGCTCTCTTCCTCTCTTTTTAAAATAAATAAACCTTTAAAATAAAAAAGAAACCCAAGAACGTTACTCAGAGGCTGCAACTACTTTGGTGCTGATTGCTGCCGCCATCTAGTGGCAACAACTTGGAACTAAAACGCTCCCTTGGGCCATAAACTCTTTTTCCTGTAGATCTTTCTTCTTCCATCATTCACTCACTCACTCACTTACTCACTCACGTGTTCATTCTACAAATATCTTATGAGAATGTACTATATGTGGCATGTCCTCATAAATGCAATAAGAGAATACAGTAATGGGAGGAAATCCAGCTCGTTATGCCCTCGAAACTTACACACTTGTGGGAAGGTAGCCATTAATCAAATTTAAAAATGATATAAATATGACTGGAAAGGGTTCTAAGAGAAGAACATGGTGCTATGAGACTCACCGGTAGGGATTTTCCTTGCTGCGGAGATGGATAGGAGGTCAGAGAAGGCTTTCCTGTGGATGTTCTGATTGGTCTTAGGAAGGGAATTACCTGGGCAGTGAGACCAGTCACGAAAATGACCTGCAGCAAAGGGAGGGAGTGTGCTGAGTGCACAGGAGCAGGAGAAGACAACGTGTCTAGATTAGCACTTAATACTAGACATTCTAAGTTTTTTTTCTTTTTAAGATTTACTTATTTGACACACAGAGAGAGATTACAAGTAGGCAGAGAGGCAGGCAGAGAGAGAGGGAAGCAGGCTCCCCGCTGAGCAGAGAGCCCGATGCGGGGCTCGATCCCAGGCCCCTGAGACCATGACCCGAGCCGAAGGCAGAGGCTTAACCCACTGAGCCACCCAGGCGCCCCAGCATTCTAGTTTCTGAATTGAGACTGTGGTTGTTAATTATAATGGCCATAAAATTATTTTACCTGATAATAAGCTAAAAAAATATAGACTAACAACTACAGAACACTCCACACCAACAGCAGAACACACATACTTCTCAACTGCATATGGAATATTCTCCAGGATAGACCACATGCCAGGTCATAAAATAAAGCCTCGATAAATCTAAAAGGATTGAAAATGTACATAGTATGTTCTCTGGCCACAATGCAATGAAATTACTAATGGATTAAAGTGAAAGCTTTTTAAATACAAATTTTATTAAATCTTGTTTTTTTCAGTTTTTATAACTTAAATATTACGAAGTCTCAAGCTCTGAGAATTTTAATATGAATTATTCAAAGCCCACGTACAATAATGGAACATTCAATTATGGCGTAGCATACTTTGTAATGTGACAGTGTAGCTCTTTATATAATAAAACAAAGCTTATGAAAAAAAATCTTCACCATCTTGGTTTTTACTTCAAATACTCTGACATAAAATAAAGAGAGTCAAATAATACTATGTTACCAGTGAAGTAAACAGAGGTGGGCAATCCACTGAGGAAACTGTGAGACCCGATCTAGGGCACTGTCACTGGTGCAGAGAGAAGGGGATTCTCTGGGGAAATATGCAACAGGTAAAGTCTATTCAAAATGAAGGTGGTTCTGTTATGAGCACTGAGGGCAAGGGAGGGCCATAAGTAAAAGAAAAGTCCCAGGTTTGTGACATGAGCAACTAGGAGACTAGCAGGGACATTTCATGAGATAAAGAGGAGTGGGACGAACACGAGCTGAGTTCAATTTTGGAAGTGTTGAGTGTGACGTGTCTGGGAAACATCAAATGTGGCAGGGATCAGGAGTGGTGGGGAAGATAGACAGGGACCCCCATAAGAAGAAGCATTCAGTGAGGTAAGAGGAAAAGCCACAGAATGTGTTCTTCAAAGTGCAGGAGACGGATGGCTTAATTTCTCCTCCATGCTCACGAAGCACTTGGAATGGCAACCCCACTCACACTTCACTCATGGCATCAGAAGTATTCCCGAGCATATCTACAACTCAGAATAGAGTGCCTTGAAGGGAAGTAAGCAAATGAAGAGGCACCTAGGGTAAGGGAACAGCATTTCAGGTGCAGTAAGCAGAGGGAAGAACGAGGAAGGGATAACTGAGAAACTGAAAGCAGTGATTCCTCTTTATTTCTAGGCTCCAAGATCTCTCAAGCCATGGAGGCAAGCTCTCATGTTTACAGCCAGCCCAACACCATTCAGAACCTCCTTCCTACGTGAAAGCTGCTGGAGGGTAAAGCATTGAATACCACCTCTCACAAGAGAGGGGAGTGAACGGTCCCTTGGTTTGGCATCTCATCAAGAAGTGGTACTAACAAACTCATCTCCAGTTGGGGGCTCTTGACTAAAATTCATATGGAATTAAATAATTCTGGCCACTTCAGGAGAGGCGGTTGCCCACCCTCCCCTCTCCTCTGCAGTTAAGTTTCCTGACCTACTTCTCCTTTACTAAGCAATCATCCTCTTCTGCGTTGGAACTCATGGGTCATCTACAAACTTCTTTATTATTGTCGTTGTTGTTTGTTTGAGATCATGACCAGAGCCCAAGTCAGAGGCTTAACGCCTGAGACACACAAGCACCCCAAAACTAACAAACAGTATTAAGTAGACCTAACAGTGGAGGGGAAAGTGATGAATTGAATGAGGGCCCCACCAGAAGACGACCTTCAGACAAATCCCCCAGCCATTCCATCCTCAGAGGGAAGGGCATTTCAGACAAAGGGAATGGCGAGTACAAAGGTAAAAGTGTGAGAAAAGGCTTGGCCTATTTTCCATCTCGGGCTGAGTTTTAGAATCCAGATCATGCATAGTCTGGTGGGCCAGGAGCTTACTCTTTGAACAATGGGTAGGCAGGAACTGTTTCAGTAGGGAGAGATAGGATCGAAATGTTTTAAAAATTCTCATCCTAGTTGGTATGTAGAGAAGAAAAAAATGAAGGTAAGAGTCTTAAAGGAGAAACCAGTGAGAAGGCAGCTGTAGTAAACTATGTCCCAGAAGGTGGCTAGGGAGATCAAAAGAGGTAGACTAATTTGGTATATACTTTGGATTATAAAAGTATATGGAGCATATAAAGTATGTAAACACCTGACCGTTAATCATCAAATACCTATAGGAAGTTGAGGAAAAGGTGGGAGGCGGGAGGTGATTAGAGATAGTTTCCGAACAGTGTGCTTGAGTAAATGAGTGGATGCTGCATAACATGGTACTATTATATACATGGGATCAATGGTGGAAAGAAATATGTTTTACAATTATTAAATATGAGTCACCTATCAGACACCAAGTTGAGATATTAAAGACACAAATGGTATTGGAGTTGGGAGTGGGAGATATGGAGTGGTGGGAAATACAAACTTGAAAATATCAGTAGAAGTAAAGAATCCAGAAAGGTTATTAAAGATGGAAAGTGGCAGTGTTTTCTATACTGATGGAAATAATCCGGGAAAAAGAGGAAAGAGAAATTGAACATGCCTGCCATAGACAGGCATGTCTATGTCTATTTCAGTATTTACTGAAAAACTGAAGTCCTAGAGAACCCTGGAGACAGTAGAGAACATACCTTAGAAGTATTCCAACTAAGGTGTGCGTTAGCTGGAAAATTTATTCACCAACTTCCATCAGTTGCTGGTTGAGGAGTGCTCTCAAGAGGTGGGGGATGGATGGGCAGTAATTCCCCAGCATTTCTGGCCTTCCCTGGACATGTGCTAAGCCAATTCTGGTGAGCAGAGAAAGCCATCAGGCAGACTCCTAAGTGATTTCAGTTAGAAGCCATTGGATTGGCATATATAGGAATGGTGAGTCTCAAAGCTATATGGGAGGGCGCCTGGGTGGCTCAGTGGGTTAGGCCTTTGCCTTTGGCTCAGGTCATGATCTCAGGGTCATGGCATCGAGCCCCACATTGGGCTCTCTGCTTAGCCGGGAGCCTGCTTCCCCCTTTCTCTCTCTCTGCCTACTTGTGATCTCTGTCAAATAAATAAATAAATAAATAAATAAATAAAATGAAATAAAAAAGCTATATGGGACACCAAAAGGGTCTTCTACCCTGTCCCACTTGATATTTTCTCCATGGAATCTCAATTTTAAACATAGAGACAAAACTGACAACAACAACAACAACTCTGATTGACTGAATAGGTGTCACGAAATAAGAAACTGTTTTAGCTGTAACCTTGTGCCTCCCATAGAGACCTGAATTGGGGAACTTAATGAATGTTAACCTTTCTGGGTTTCAATGTCCTGCTGTGTAGAATGGTGAGAAGTAAGTAGAAAGAAGAGGACTTCTTTCCAACTCTTATTTTCCATTATTTGAATTTAGGTGTAGGGGAATTCTTCTTTGTCCTCATTAGCTATATCAAAGTATTTCAACAGGTATTAAATACCTACTATCTAACCACTTCAACTTATCATATTATAACTCTAGAGTATCTACCCTTCGCTAGCCACTGTTCAGAGTGTTTTACATATAATATCTCTGATCATGGCAGTCATCTGAGAAAGTTAGTATAAGTCTCATTTTACAGGTGACGATTCTGGTTCTGAGAGGTGATAGGATTTACTCGGATCCTTCTGACTTCCAAACACGTGTGGGTTTTTGTGTTTGTTTTTTTGGTTTTTGATACTGCAGGACAGTGAGACGGTGACGACTATCTCAACAAGAAAAGGGAATGAGGAGGGAATGACTCTTGCAGCAAATGCTGTGGCTACTGACATTGATCTGAGAGCCGCCTGAGACTATGGGAGGCCTTTCTCCAAATTCAGCCCATCCTCCTAAGCGCACTTCTCTCTTTGGATTCGTGAGCAGAACTGAAGAGATGCACGAGGGTTCTGGAGAATACCGACTAACTGGTACGTCTTTAAGCCCACAGAACTCCTTGTTATTGTTAAATCTTCTGTTGGGCGGCCGCAAGAGCGGAGTCAACCACAACAAAGAGGGCGGCAGCGGCTTCACACGGCAACGGCGACGCTACCTGTCACCGCGCGCCTCAGTATTTAGTTCCGGCCTGCCCATTTGACGTCACTTCCGACACCGGTTCCGCGGCGTCTACGCCGCTCGTCCTGTAGCGGCGGTGGGGATGCTGAGCCGGGTGAGTGGAGTCTTAGGGAGTCTCGCGGAGGGAATCCGAGAGGATGTGGGGGCAGCAACATGGAAAGGGAAGGTGGGAAGCCTGCGGCTGTTGTCGCGGTTGTGACTGAGCCTCGGTTTACGCAGCGATACAGGGAATATCTCGAGAAGCAGAAACTCCTGGACAGACGGCACCGTGTAGAAAAGATGCCGGATGGCACGGTGGCGCTGCCGGTGCTGGGAAAGACTCTCCCTGAGCAGCACCTGCACGAGCTGAGGGATTGTGTGGCTCCAGGCAGCACCTGTAGAGTAACGCAGCTCCTGGATCCTGTTCCCTCAAAGAAGGCCCAGGGTTGTTCACCGGCCCAAAGGCTGTGTCTTGAAGTGAGTCGCTGGGTAGAGGGCCGGGGAGTGACGTGGTCAGCTGAGTTGGAGGCCGATTTGCCCCGGTCTTGGCAACGACATGGCGACCTCTTGTTGCTGAGCGAGGACTGTTTCCAAGCCAAGCAATGGAAACATCTGGAACCAGAACTCTGGGAGACTGTTGCGTCGGCACTTGGCGTCCATCGTGTGGCCAAACGAGGGCGGGTATCCCCAGATGGCGCTCGAACGCCAGCAGTGACTCTGCTGCTGGGCGACCATGGCTGGGTAGAGCATCTGGATAATGGGATCCGATATAAGTTTGACGTGACCCGGTGCATGTTCTCCTTCGGAAACATCACTGAGAAGCTTCGAGTGGCATCGCTGCTCTGTGCTGGAGAAGTGCTGGTGGATCTCTATGCAGGGATTGGTTATTTTACATTGCCCTTCCTCGTCCATGCTGGCGCTGCCTTCGTCCATGCCTGCGAGTGGAACCCCCACGCTGTAGCTGCGCTGAGAAAGAACCTTGATATCAATGGAGTGGCAGATCGGTGCCAAATACACTTTGGGGATAACAGAAAACTGAAGCTCTCAAACATTGCAGACCGGGTGAACCTGGGGCTGATTCCCAGTTCTGAAGAAGGCTGGCCCATTGCCTGCCAAGTGCTGCGGCGGGATGCTGGGGGCATTTTGCATATCCACCAAAATGTGGAATCTTACCCAGGCAAGAACCGCCAGCCTCCAGGAAGCAGTGAAATGGAGAAGGAACATTTGCCTTATCCTCAGCAAATGATCACCAACCATTGTACAAATGGAGCAACCAGGGATTCTAGGGGGAAAAGGCTATCAGCAGCCACCAAACCAGAGTGGCAGAGGTGGGCGGAAGCTGCAGAAACTCGTCTTGCCACCCTTCTTCAGCAGGTGCACGGGACACCATGGAAGACACAAATCCTGCACATCCAGCCAGTGAAATCCTATGCTCCCCACGTGGATCACATAGTGTTGGATTTGGAATGCCGCCCCGTCCTCTAGTTGGCTAGAGAAGGTGGATCGTGAGACACAAGGATCTATATGTGAGTGACCCTTAATACATAAGTTTAGGCGGGGTTCTCACCTCTCTTTTCTCCTGGAAGCCTACTTTAATATTTTATGTCCCTGAAAGCAGGTTCTGGATCAGTACAAGTCATCTTGTTTGTCTTCCATTATCACAATGAGAATGAACTGCATATCGGGGAGAAGCAGTATGGCTCCCTGAAATGAGGTCTGTACAGTGAATTCTGACCTCAGTCCTGTCTTACCTTGGTATGTGGTTCCAGTATTCTTTTGGCCTTGGATTTCCTTACTTGCAAAATGAGGGTGTTTTTGAATGATTTTATAGGCTATTGTCTAATAAGCAGTTGTACACAGGGCATTGGTTATTTTAGAGTGAAAGACATAGTGCTGTTTCCAAAATCACTCCAGCTACAGTGTGGAACACCGACCCGAGTGGGGCCAGGCTAGAAGCAGGGAGACCTTGGAGGAGGCTTCTGTGGTTGTCCAGGGAGGATATAGTCCGGGTAGCTTGGACTAGGATGCTGGCAGTGGGAAGTGGACTTGAGATATGAAATCGACGGGACTAAGCAGTACAGCCCAAATCAAAGCACTCAGATGGTGCAGCTTTGTTATGAAGGCTGACTAGATTAGGGAAGGAAGAGGTTAAGAATTACTCTATTTTATTAACTTCATTCCCTTTAGCATTTCTAAATGAGTGTTGGGGAAGACGTCTTATACATTAGGTTTGTTGTAGAAAAGAGGCTAAGAATGACTGCTTTAAATTACGGGGGAACTAGATTTCCAGCCTTAAGTTTATGCAATAAGCTAGTTTTGTTTTGTTTTGTTTTTAAGAGATTTTGAGAGAGCACGTGAGCATGAGAGGTGGGGTTGGGGAGAGGGAGAAGGGGAAGCAGAGAGAGAAGCTGACTCCCTTCTGAGCAGGGAGCCCAATGCTGGGCTCCATCCCAGAACCCTGAGATCATGACCCAAGCCAAAATCAGGTGCTTGACTGACTGAGCCACCCAGGCATCCCTAAGCTACCTATTTTAAAAGTTTAAATTAAAATCTTACGTTTATCAGGGCTCAAGCTCCCTTTTCATATTTTTTTCTCTGGTGGACATCAGGGCCAACATAAGGAGCTATACGCAATGTGAGATCTTCTGCAGTTTTTCAAGCCTCACCTTATTTTATGGCTGTCTGCCAGCACCACTGTTTACCACTGGAATGACTAATTGCAGAGAATCACTGTTTACCTTTGGGATGACTAATTTTGAGAAGCACTTCAGAGCTTTGTTTTGGTGCACTTTGAAGCCATCCGGGCTTGTTTTCTTGATGAAGGAAACATAGGGAAGTGTGGCTTTATCGGGATTACAATTGTATGTCGCATTTGGCTGACTGGGGTTGGGCTAGAGCTGCTTGCCCTTTGCTTTTAACAGCGTCAGGAAGGACAGGATCGGTGAGCCTGTTGTGTATATATGAACTGCAGATGCATTAGATACAGCCCAGTCTCTGAGGAGCTTACAACCTAGCAGCAGAAATAACACAAAAACTGAAAGACTTGGAATACGTTAAGTACCATGTAAGTAATAGCATGACCTAGAAGTGTGGAGGTGGAGAAGGAAAGTTCTGAGAATGGGGAAGTTTTCAGAGAGGTCGTGTCCGAACTCATTCTTAAAAACTGGGTAATATCTTGGGAAGTGGAGTCAGGGTGATGCTAGTAGAAGGAGAAAAAAAAATGCAGGTGCAAAGCTTGCTCAGAAAATGTTTGGACATCGTCATTAGATAATTTGGAGGAGAAGAAACAGTGAGAGATATGTTGAAGACGGGGGTTGTTATAAGGATTAAAAAGAATAGTGTCCAGTACACAGTATGCCCCCAGGAAATGTTAGCTATCATGTGATCCCACCACAGAAGGGGGCCTGATTGTTCCATTCCCACCCCACAGAGCAGCCTGCCTGTTTGCCTTAATCATCTCCTCTTCTACATATGGGGTTTCTTCTCACATGTGTGCCTGCAGCTTTTGAGCCTCAGACTAGAAATGCGATGCTGGGACTTGAGCCAATATGGGGAGGAAGGAAGGCAGGGGAGAAGCAATGAGGAAGGTGAGTCAGGGAGCCACATGTCCGGGGGCTGAGGAGTCACCTGTCTGCCGCAAGCTATGGATAGGCTCCTGAAGTCAGATACATTGGAATGAATGTGTGCGCCCTGCAATAGACACATCAGGCCTTGAGGGTTCAGGGATGCCAGAAGGTTGACGTGGGTTCTGTGTTCGTAGACTTGAGGTTCAACTCATACACCTCCTGCCTTCTCTCCCTTGTCTGTGACCTGAGGCAGCTTCTCAAGATTCAGTTTCCCCATCTGTACATATGGGTGAACAACTCGTTAGCTTTCAATGAGTTAACGTACAGGGACTATCACCACCATGACTGGCACACAGGGAATACTTCATTCATTAGGAGTCTTTATAGAAGGTGAACTACCATTTCCCAGTTTGGGTGTGAGGAACTGCTGTGCATTTGCTTTAGTAGTTAAAGTAGAATGTCCTTATTTTGAAAAGCCACTCATTGATTAATTGGCATGTACTGTGTCCTTTCTTTGTTAGGCATTGTGATGAGGGCCAGAGTGAGTGGTGAGTGAAGCCGAGTCCTGAGGGGCGCCTGGCTGGCTCAGTAGATATGCTACACAACTCCTGATCTCAGGGTTGTAAGTTCAAGTCCCATGTTGGGTGTGAAGACTTAAAAATCTTTTAAAAAACCCAAAACACTAAGCTGAGTCCTGCCCACAGTAGGATCACTTCTGGTGACATGGGCACAGTGGTACAAAGTACTGAGACAAATGGGTTTTTACAGGCACACCCAGGTGAAGCAGCTATCCATGCCTGGAGATATGAGTTGGGGGCAGTGGAGAGTGTCCCTGGGAAGATGGGGGCAGGGATGCTTCAACTGAGAGTTAAAGAATGAGCCAGACTTAAGTTGTGGATGGAAGAAAACAAGGGTCGCTTAAGCCTTGTCTCCACCTTGAGTGTGTCCATTTGCATTACAGTTTTCTCCGAGCACTTGCTGGATTGGCCCGCTCAGGAAGAGGCAGCTAATGGAACCAAGGAAAAAAGACTGAAAGGATCAGGAAGCTCATGGAGTGTTTGTCACCTCAGTCCAGGAATGTGTCCAGGTGCTGAAGGCTTCCTTTGTGAGCATCAGGATTAGTTGCTGGGTAACGCACTCACTTGATGGAGAGGTTGCGATTCAAAACCAGTAATGATAATTCTATTAAACTCCCTCGACTGTCAGTTGCTTGGTTCATTAACTTCGTAATTTTAATAAATTATATGCATATGTTGATATAGGAATATAACATACGCATTTTAAATAAGAAATTTAAAATGATGACAAACTAATAAATAGCATTTTTAATTCACTTTTCTCCCATATGACAAGCACATGTGAGGAGAAACCCTATATATGTTATTCTGAACAGCCTCAGGGTGCAGCTACTTCTCACTGGGCAAGCGTAAAACTGGTCATTTTCTTGGCCTCTGGTTGTTTCCTCTTGTGTGTGTTGTGTGTACTGGTCATTACTTGGCTGCTGCTTTAGGAGAATGGTCAGCAGATGTCCGGAGTTGTCTGTAGCTCTCTCCACTTTGGCGTTCCACTCTCGGGACTCATTCCTGGGCTCCTGGGACTGGTCATTCCACACCTCTGGGAGTCTGCTGGGCTCCCACTGCCTTCCCCCTCAAGCCACAGCCCAGAAACTTTCTCCAGGCAGTAAGATGGAGCAAGTCAGTGGTCCGCCTTGTGGGTTCGCATCTCCCATGGGTGGTCGTCTGTTGCCTGTGTCCAGTGCCTTGAGGGGGCTTGTTCATGGGTTTTGTGTAGCTTTTTTTTTTTTTTTTAACTATTTAGATGTTTATAATAATTAATGTATAAATTTACTAGCTTTCACAACCATTGAAGAAATTCACTCTAGCAGTAATAAATACATACAAGAACTTAAGCTGACATGAAATTTCAACATATAAAGCACATGAGAATTTCTTACCACTGCTGTGCTAAGTATACCTACCTATATCATAAACTGAATATAAAAATATTAACAATAAATACAATGGCATCTTTCTGATTGGATATGATAATACCTGGCAGGTTACTTGATGAACAACCACATAATTTCAGAGAGGCCACAAACTGTCAGAATAGCTATTTGTCTCTCTGGCTTTTTAAAGGTCAAGGTTGAATCAAAGGCAAATAGAAAATAATGAATATGAAGTTAAAACTGTATTTTGGTACATACCATAGCTGCACCACACACACACACACACACACACACACACACACCATACACACCATACATGCATACCCACACACACACCACACGTATCATATTGTCTCCTGGATTGAATGGCCCATGCAGTAAAGCTGCACGTACACCATTAGGTAGGTAGATTCAGGTGGACAGACTGTCCTAGTTTCTCTTTTAGTAATTGAATTTTACTTTTTTAAACCAAAGCTATACATATGCATAGTTTCATAACTCCAATAAAGGTAACACAACTTTATGAATAAGACTACATTTCCACAACACCACAATGAAGCAGCTACAGCCTACAGCTCCTTTCCTCACTTTGGGGTCTACTTTCAACAATTTCAGCCGGACCATGTGTCAAAGGGAATTCAGGATCTAGCCAACATGTACCACCAGGAGCCATGAGGGTATGTATGGACCTGGGTCCCGAGAGCTGGGTAAGATGCAGTTCGCATTTATGTAGGACTCCACTCTCCCATCATATTATGGTCTGAGGAGATCTAGACCATCAGAACATCCCACAGAGTATCACGCTAACCTAGTGTGTCTGTAGCATCATACTAATTAGGTCGGATAAAAAACTAGTGTATTGCCCTTCAAAGATGGAAAATAATCACTAATAAACAGCAACCTGTTACAATAGTGACATTTTTAGGGCTGCTGGTCTGCTTGAATGCTAAGATAGCTCCTTTGCAGTAAAGAAGAAGTTTTTGCATCTCTCCCAGTCATCAGTACTCCTCTACCAAGGAAGCACACCAACCTCTCTCTGCTTCTCTGTGGGAATTCAGAACTTGGGAATGCTGCTCTGACTCAGATACTAGGTGACTTAGAGGGCTGCCGGTTTTCAGTGGGATCCACGGCACATAAAGGCTCTAAATCAGGTACAAGCTGCAGTGTAATTAGCTTTATTTCACGGGTCATTCAATCCAGGGGGTTGTGTGGTACGAGTATCTGTGAGCCAGGGGAGTTGATGGCGAGCCCCAATGGGAAAATCACAAGGTAGTCCTACGTAGACATCTGTAGCAATGCCAGGCAATAAGCAGTGGAGAACTGTGTATCATCCAGAAATGGCTCTTGCATGCCAGGTAGAGTCTGAGCATCTCTTAGGACATCAGGTAACCCTGTCGCCAGTGTTGCCCATCACAAGCTGAGTTTCGCCAGGCCCTTCAAGTCAGTCCATCATAAGATGGAAGCGTCGCATCTGGGATGGATGACAAGGCCAGAGGAAATGAATAGGTGCACAGGCAGGTGGCCTACTCTTGTGTCATATTTATAACTCTTGCATCAGTGCCCTTTGCTCCGCTCACATTTTGGCCACTTGAGAGGCTCTTCCGGCTCGCTGATGAAGGACAGAAATGCGCAGCTAAATTCACTGATAGGTTTTCTTGGAATATGGGTGCGAACAAGAAACAGATGGCTGCCACCTGACAGCCCTCCTCAGAAGTAAGGGAATCCTCCCAAAAGGCAAAATTGGCAGGGTTTCTGGTTGTCCACTTTGTATAGGAAGAGAAGTGGCCTGAAGTAAGAATTACCTTTATGACAAATGTCAGATAGGTCGATGAGTTGATCAGGGACCTGGAGTGGGAAAGATTAGATCAGGGACAAGGAAGCCGGGAGAAGAGGCAGTGGAGAAGTCTCCGGGATTGGATACATGAGTAAAGGTCTTTGTATTGCAGTGCCTACCAGAGACCTGAATCACACAAGAGGAACTAAACAAGTAAAAAGACTTCACTAGTTAATTTCAGCAGTTGTAGTCATGAGCTGCCCCAATAGCATAATGGGCTCATGAATAAGGTCGGTTGAAGGATGTAGGTTAGCAAGATGCTAGCAGCATGGCCTCTACTCACCAAGGAGCCACCCCCTAGCATTCGGCACTGAGCCCTTGAGACAACACCCTCCCTCAAGGTAGCAAGTGGATTACACTGGACTTCTGTCTTCTGTCGCAGAAGGGCAGTGATGCACCTTGACTAGACTTCTTCCCATCTGCATGGATGAGTTTGCCTTTCCTGCCCACAGGGTGTTGGCCAGCATCGCTATCCAAGGGTTTACAAGTGTTTGATCCATCAGTATGTATCCTACGTAATATTGCCTCCAACCTAGGGATCTGATTTACAGCAAAGGTGTTTCAGTGGACACATGGCCTTGTGATTCACCAGTCCTATCCCATCCTAGAAAATGCTGGCTTGGTGGAGTGGTGGGAAAACTTTTTTTTTAAAGAATTTTTATTTATTTATTTGACAAAGAGAGCACAAGCAGGCAGAGTAGCAGGGAGAGAGAGAGGGAGAAGCAGGCTCCTCGCTGAGCAAGGATCATGATGTAGGACCCGATCCTAGGACCCTGGGAACATGACCTGAGTTGAAAGACAGTCGCTTACCCAACTGAGCCACTCGGGTGCGCCTGGAAAAACCTTTTGAAACCAAACTAAGGCTTGGAGATAATGCCTAGTGAATGAGGTGCCATCCGCCAGGAAGCAGTATACATTCTAAACCCCTATTACACAGTGCCATGTCCCATATAGACAGAAAATGCACAGCTAGGAATGAAAGGGTAGAAATAGAATTCCTACTGTGGTGGGCTAAATGATGCCCCCCAAATATGTCCATGTCCTTTAAGTATGTTATCTTACATGGTAAAAGGGACTTCGCAGATGTGATTAAAAATCTCAAAATGGGAGGAGGGTATCCTGGGTTATCTAGGTTGGCCCCCTAAGATCTCAGAGGTGCTTGGAAGAGGGAGGCAGTATGAAGAGGAGCTGTGATGACTGAGGCAGGATGCAGCAATGTAAGGAAGGGGCCACGAGCCAAGGAATGCAGGCAGCTTCTGGAAACTGAAAAAGGCAGGGAAGTGGATTCTTCCCCAGAACGCTTCAGGAGGAACAGAATTGTGGACACCTTGATTCTAGACTTCTGACCTCCATAACTGTGAGAGAATAAATTGAAATTGCAATCTTCACAGTACTGAATCTTCCATCTCGAAGCTTTTATTCTGCTCGGTTGGGTGCAGCTCTGAAATGAGAAGTGACTATTAGGAGCCTGGACGACAGGATCCCATCGAGAGGGGAGG